TCAACGTAGACGTAAATGATGTTTAAAGTACAATATTTCATAAACTTCAATGCACATTCCACGAATATACAGGTGCGTGAAGTACATTTGCGGCTCTCTTTATTTTTAAGGAAGTTTTTGTTATCCTTAGAAGATTCCACTTCCATTCTTTCGTCCTTCTCTTCTCCTTATATTCTTTATCTATCAAGCAACTTTTTTCATTGCCTCTGTTCTTTGTGAGTCCAGATCTAAAAATTACCTTTCCAATTCCTCATAATGCAAGCAAAGGGCTTCCATTCAACAGCAAGAACTTTTTTGTCATCTGAATGGGAAACTTTGAAGAGCAGGGTCTATTTATTCTTCTACAACTCTTTATATTGTTGAGAACATCTCTTAAAAATTTGGGACTAATTTGAGAAGAGAAAACTCCGAGAATCTTTCTTGTAGAGGCACTTCAAGGAAAGTTGAGACAGGTATGAGAGATATGTTTCACTTATATTCTTCACCCCTTTTTCTGAACAAAAATCGTCGTCACATATATTTTGCTGTGCTGAAGCATTTATTATGCTCCAAATATTCTAGCGAACACTTTGGAGGTCTGCTAAAATAGTACCGCACTAACAAAGAATAGCATTTCATGTGTAGTTTATTCAATTTATCCAGTTCATGACAACGTATGATAATACTAAATATAAATAATACTAATAATAAATTAATACAATACTTCCCAAATCAGTATACTAGTCACTTTAAAATGGACATCTTCCCGAAAATTTCAGGAGCTCGTTGACGCAATGCGTGAAGCCGATGTTGATAGAGCTGGAAAATATGATTACAGAGTTGACTACGGTAGTCCAGTAAGAGGAACGTCAGACGAGAGCGATAATGAGTACCTACGACCACCTTTTATCTGTTGAATGAAAATGACTTTCTCTGCATACTTGTTTTAGCTTATTCGTCGATGTGAACGAGACTCTCTTTGAGCGACCAGTATACAAAGTCTTGCTGTCACTAGTTGAAAAGAATGTATTCCAACATGATGTAAGTATCGAATGGATTCTAATATCAATACAGACACCTATATCTTACCACGAGCTTACAACTTCTCAAGGTCTGTGAGCGGGAGAGACCAATAAGCGGCC